CACACACACACACACACCACTTTATTTTCCCTGTGCTTCCCGTCCCCCGGGAAGTCGGGTCAAAGTCGCGCGCGGAGAATACCCTACTTTCTACTCTCCAGTATGAATTCAAAGTTGGAGAGGCAATCGGCTGTTGAACAGTCTGTTTTCGATTCTCTGGGCCAGGGACCATGAACCGGGCAAAAGCGAGGAGCTAGGGAGAGAGGGTGCTCTCCGAGCACGCAGGGCCGGACTGCTGGGCAGGCAGGAGCCGGGGGCCAGAGGGGGCAAATGCGCCGCGCGCGCTGGGTGACCATAACTCCGCCCCCAGCTCCAGGCTCGGAGTGATTGACGCATGGCCACCGGGAAACCCTCGGCGTAGAGGTGAGGCTGGGTGCAGCTCCAGCCAGGGATTGAGTGAGACGCCGGCCAGAACTACTTTCTACACAAATCATGTGGGATATTTACCTTCCTCCCCACCCCACTCTTCTTTTCCTTTTTGGAAAAGTTCATTCGGAGTCGGCCCGTCTTCCCCGTGCCGCGGAATTGCCCGGTACAATTAACACAACCATTAGCTGGCGTTACCACGCTCCGGCCTCTGCATTCTGGACGACCACAACAAAGCTGGGCAGGGAATACCGGCCAATTTTCCTTGCAAGGCATCTTATCACTCTCCCTCCCTCTCTCTCCCGTGCTTCCCAGCTCAAAGTGAGATCCACTTCGGAGGCGCACACTAGAGGCGCGCGCGCGCGCGCGCGCACACACACACACACCCTTTTGGCGACATCAGACAACATCAAACACCCAAACGACTCCTCCCCACTTCCTCCCTCCCAATTCCACCGCGGCCCCCAGAGACTCTCCAGGGTGGCCCTTGTCCACACCGCTAGGAGAGAGTGCTGTCTGAGTTAAGCTGATTTCTTCTTGTCCTGGAAAAATTAAATGTTGACAAGGGTGCTGGATGTGCACAGGGAAGAAAGTACCACTTGAAAAAAAAAAAAAAAACTATAGCTCCGCAGTAGTACGGTTTGCAGAGCCTGCTGCCCCTGGATGTTAGCAGAAAGCCTTCAGGGGCGCAGTAATCGGCTGGTAGAGGAGTCGGGGCCCGCGAAATTAAAAGGAACAAAAGCAAGAGCGCCATGCCAAACGTCCCCGACACGACCCCATTAGGCTTGAGCCCGGTGTAATGAGAAAATGAACTAGAAGTAAGTTTGAAAAAAAAAAAAAATTATAAGATCTGAGTCTGTACCGTACTTTCCCTGTGGTTTTCTGCAGTTTTCCTCTCTGCGCTCTCCCTGTCCTCTTCATTCTCTCCCTCTTTCCTCGCTCGCGCGCGCCCGCCCTCGTGCGCGCGCCCCCGTGCGCACGCGCGCGCGCGC